GCATAATGGTTACGTCGCTGGACTCCCACATAGTTGACCACAATTCACGTCCCAGACCTGGTGGTTTAAACTCAGGCTGGGCACTTGTGCACATGTGCCTAAAATCCCGAGAGGTGAATGAAGGAGAAGGGATTACGGCATGACCACCCCACTAGGATGTGATTTCTCACTTTCTGGCTCTCTGTCCCTTTATATCTCTAGTGAGTGCACACACCCTATAGCAAAAATCTCTCAAAAAAAAACATCTCATATTTTGTTAGAGTCATAATTACCCCTTCAGAAGACTTATTTTGTTGTAATTCAAATCTGTAGTCAGGAAGACAGAATGATTTTTCTCAAATATTCCCAGATTTAGGTTTCTTAATACTGAAAAGAAGAGTTAAATAATTTAAAACTTTTGTTCATGTTATTTTACTACAGAGCAACACAGTAGTAGTAGAAATTTTGAAAATAGTAGAAACTATGAAAATGTACATTGGTAGTATAATCCTTGAAATAGAGGAGAAAAGAAAAGGAGATCTTTTGTAATCCCACCAAAAATAATTTTTATTAATATTTTAGTAGATGGTCTTGTAGTAATTGGCTACGTGTGTGTGTATAATTTTAAAATATTAACATTTTACACCCTACTTTTAATTTGTTTCTTTTACTGAGCGTCATGTGCATATTACTGTGTTAAAGTTCACAGTGAAATAGTGTTTTATAGTTTAGATATTTTAATTTACTTAATTCAGCTCATAATGCCTTTTAATTTTAGTGTTCCACCCTAATAGTGTGTGTCTTGTGTCTGCCTGTTCCGTCCCCACTTTTTCTTAACCAGATTAATATACAATTGTGATTGTTGACTACTACCAAAGGAATGTTTACCATTCAGTGGGAGTAATGAATATATTAGGTAGGCTCTGACTCAATGTTAATAATTCCTGGAATTATTATCCAGGAAGCCCATTAAATATATCTTTATTCTAGGCTTGATTTGATGCACTTCTGTGATTTTGGTTATACATAAAATGATTATACTTTTTCTACTATATTTTAATGGCTTTTATTATTTTAGAAATAGAGTAGATCCTAGGCATTCACTGAAAAACAACAGGGAGTGATTCTGCCATAAAATGCACATGTTAGAACAGTAAAACTGCTCTGAAATTCAAATAATTGTACAGTTGGGTAGGCTCCCTTGCTTGCCAAGTAACACACATACTGGTGTGACAGAAAACATAATTTAAAATTCTGTTTGAGTAATGTTATAAATTACTGTATATTGTGGACTTTCAGTATTGAGATAGAAATTAGACCCCACTTACAGGTAGATAGGGTGAAGGCCCCCAAGGAAGTCACTGTGTTTTTCTTTTTAATGAAGTCCCTGTGTTTTTCTTCTGTGGTTTAATGCAAGATACACACCCCTCATACATGTCTCTAAAGAATTTATGACTCCTTGCTAATAAGTCAGGAGATATGAATCTTGAGCACTTAGGATAAAACCAAGATGGACTCACAGTGGCTAAGTTTTCACAGCCAGAAGCTGGCTGCTTTGAAACTCAAAGCAGCTATAGCTAAAGGCAGCAGTTTTGATTTAGCAACTATATTCTAACAAGAAGTACAGAACTCTGTGATCTGGTGACCCCACAAAGAATACGACAATAAATCACCCAGACTACCATGTAACTATTTTCTAGAGCCCATGTCCTTACCAGGAAACCAGCCGCTGCTCAGGTTGCCTCCAGCTCTTCTTCAGCAATCCATTTGGGCCCCCTTCCATTGCATTGGAAGCTTTTCTCCTTCCCTAATAAACTCTGCTTTACTTTCCTCTCTGTGTCTGCATCTCTAATTCTTCATGAGTGTAGGACAGGAATGAGAATGGGTGTTGGGTCTGATCACCAGCACTCCTGCATCAGATCACTCTTAAATAGTAAAGGTTGTGAATATTAAATGCAGAAGTAACTGAAGACCCAGTTTATAAAGTATATATGATTTTACAAATATTCATATTAGGTTTATAGTGGAAGATTTGTTTTAGTTTTGACTCTATCTAACTACTAATTTTTACTGCCACTGATGGCTTTATTGCTTTAGAGGTTGGCTTTCTCATGAAGACTTTTTGTTAAGATAAATCAGTATTCATTGCTCATCACTAACTGTCTAATGCTGAGCTTTGTAGCTAGTGGACCTCAGATTCATTCTTGTGTGACAAGTCTTCATAAAATAGAATGATTCAGGTTAGGTTTCTGTGAAAGAACAATTGAAAGGAATTGTTCCAAAGAGGAACAGTGACTAGATTCTATATCTGATGAAATCACTCCTGTCATCAGATCCTGGACATCATACCTCTGAAATGTCTACTTGGCACCATGGGAATTTGTCTTGTCAGCTGGGTGGAGGTAATCTAGCACTGATTCTTAACCAGTTTAGAATTGCTCACATCCAGTTTAGAATTGCTCATCACCAGTGGCAGTGTAGAGAAATGTCTAGCTCTGGATTATATTGTTCCTTGTTTCTTGGGAAGTTGATAGTTGAATTTCCTTAAATTTATTTTTACTAATTTTTAAAAAATTCATGTGTTAACAACTATTTAAGAAAGTACTCCTTTATTTTCAATCCCATCTCTTATCGATGCTCTTGGCCATGTATTGTTATCCTTTGTTATTTCCCCAACTCTAATAGATTTTATGTAAACTTGAAAGTAGGGACTGTATCTTAGACATCTGTGGATAGCTACTCACTCTTAGGATGTTTCTTAAAACATAGTAAGCATTCTGGGGGACCAGCAGTTAGCGTAATGGCTATGTTGCTGGACTCCCACGTAGTCGACCGCG